ATCGCCTCGAAGCAAAATGAAGTATTTCATAGATATATTCAATTCTAAAAGGTCTTTGAAATATTTCAACTTTGGAAGTATGTCTACTTATTTTAATATTGAAAATTTCATTCATACGACCTACTTCGAATGTCAATCAATAATTTCCCACGATATTCAATCGATTTCGCGAAGTTCAGGTAATCCAGATGAATGTGAGCGAAATGGTAAATAACTCGATCAATTCAAAGTAATATTTTATTCAAATCAAGAGTAATCGACAGTTGTAATTGTTTATTACTCAGACCAAGGCAGCATTATGAGCTATCGGTTACCTACAATCGATAGTTCAAACTCTTCAATTACGTCTTATCAACAGTGCAAACAGTTCATTATGGAAAAACGAAAGTTCAATAGTCGGTAGTTTGAATATTATAGCAAAAAATACCCCACAGAGAACAGACAAAGGATGAATACCGAATGTGATTGAGAGAAATTTGTTGGAAGTGGTCTTCAGGTTTTCATGTCAAGTGTTCCATCTACAACTTTGGTAGACATTATCAAGAGCGATGGGACAACGGATGGAGTACTTATATTTACCAACGTCGCGCAAGATTCGGATTCATTCATTTGGTGGTGGACGTGGCTTCATCTGTATATATGTTCGATTTTCACTTCCTATCGTTCGAACCGTTCTAGGAATCACACGTTGAAAAGTAAGATCTCATTATTTGTTAGCTCGCACAAGTTTTTACTTTTGAGAGTTGTCATTCGTAGAGATGCGACAGCTGGTTACCGGAAAAACAGATTTTCGAAGGGATTGGGTCTTCTCAAACATAATAACGTGGGTGCCTTCTCTGAATGCATGTTTCGCTACTGCTAAGTTGTTATGCCACAGTCGACCGTTTCTACAAAGCAACGCGAATCTTAGATTTACAGGAAATCAACGCACATTGACGGGTATCGGAGTGAAAACTCCAACAATCACAACGACGAATGAGGGGAGTAATTGAAACACATTTTTGTGTATCTCTCATCCTGAGAATCCCCCCATGGAACATTTTTATCCAAAAAGTGATTTCGAAGAAAACATTACAAGCTTACATCCTTTAATATGACAAGATTTTTTTTTAAGTTGATACGTACCAGGAACATCTCTCGTTAACACACTTCTATTTGTTTCAGCTTTTCATGATAGACAACTGCGCCGATGACTGGCGAATCGCCATGACCTGGCAAAGGATATCACAGATAACAATGGAACTAGTGATATGTGCTGTGCATCCGATTCCGGGACATTATCTGTTTGTGTGGACAACAAAACTAGCTAATAAAAACGGTGGTATTGGAAGAAAATGCGTTCCGTACGATGTGCCCTTGTCTTTGCCGATGTTTCTCAGGCTCTACTTGATTTGCAGAGTAATGTTACTCCACAGTAAACTGTTCACGGATGCCTCATCGCGAAGTATAGGTGCGCTCAATCGAATTAACTTCAATACAAGATTTGTGTTAAAAACCCTCATGACTATCTGTCCCGGTACGGTACTTCTAGTCTTCATGGTATCCCTCTGGATCATTGCCAGCTGGACGTTAAGACAGTGTGAAAGGTGAGATTCACATTACTTTTGAATAATAATATTTTCGTAACATAGCTGCAATTATATCTCCAATATTCATAATGTTTCTGCAAACATTGAATTTTATGGTGAAACTAATAATTTCATTTTAAAAAACTAATTACTTATTTACTATAGCAGCTTACCACTCAGATTTCAATGAATTTATCGTTGCATACATACAATTCACTGCTTATGACAATAATATGACCAACAGTTGAATAAAAGTATTTTCTGTCGAATTAGGTAGGTGAATCTAAAGTGAGTGGGTCTATTCGACTCTCCACCGCAACTCATTAGGGTTTATTGTGGCACACACTCATTCACACTCGGAGGTCAGATGGTGACAGTACGGATCTGCCGAACTCAAAGAACCTGATTCGGTCCCCAGCGTGGCAGGCACAAAGTATATGCTCTGCAGTTTCATCATTTTCCAGACAAAGGCGACACACACTGTCTTCCGACAGTCCAAGTCTCTGCATTTGATGATTCAAATGACAGTGACCTGTAAGAAGGCCTGTTAGACATCGTAGTTCATCCCTACTGGAGTCCAACAACTGTTTGGAATCAAGCTTCGAAGGGTGAATAAACGCCTTGAAGTGAGCCAATCCTGGAAGATTCTGCCAGAAGTTCATAACTCTTCTTGCCATCCAGGTGTTAAGTGTTTGTTTGGCAAAGTCCAAAGCGATGCCAATGACAGGTTCTGGTCCAATGAAGCCACTTGTAGCACCCTCCTTTGCAAGAGAGTCAGCAGCTTCATTGCCTTCCAGGCCATTGTTTACTAGCATGGCATAGATCCAGCCAGTTATGGTCGATTCTATACCGTTTCTAGCCAGAGACAATCCTATAGATTCAGGTAGTGCATTGTCAAATGCTCCTTCAATATCAAGAAATACAGCAACCGCAATCTCCTTGTTGTCAAGCGATTAGGAGATTTTCTCAACGAGGTTGTTTAATGCTGAATCTGTCGATTTGCCGGATTGATAAGCATTCTGGTGGTTATTCAGTGGGGATGCATATAATGCTACCCTCCTGATATGTCCGTCCAGTATCCTCTCAAGTCCTTTCAGCAGGAAGGATGTTAGGCTGATTGGTCGTACCGATTTGGGGTATGGGTCTCTCCGGCCCACTTCAGGTATATATACCACCCTTGCTGCCAACCAACTGGGTGGTATATAGTTCCACGCCAGACTAGCTCTATACAATTTTGTGAGAATAGGTAAAATTATTCTCAGTCCGTTTTGAAGAAGAGCTGGAAATATACCATCCTCTTCGGGAGATTTGAAGGGCTGAAAAGACTTGATAGCCAGATCAACTGCCCGTGCCGTGATAACCTTGTTTGCGACGTCCCAGTCGTTCTTTTTTGGGCGTTTAGCGCCCTCGAAGATGGGCGGTCTGTTGTATCAAGAGTCAGATTTGCAGGAAAGTGGTTTTCTATCAAAAGCTCTAACGATTTTTTACTAGAGGTCGAAAATATTCCATCGGGTCGTTTGAGCGACCCAATTTCAGAAGTCGGCTCTCTAGAGAGAATCTTGTGAATTCTTGCGCCGCGAGGTAAATCAGAGATACTCTCACAGAACTTCCTCCAAGACTCCCGTTTTGCCTTTCTAATTTCCTTGTTGTATGACGTTAGAGTGGTTTTATAAAGCTCCCAGTTACCTGACTCTTCAGCTCGATTGAATAGTCGTCGAACTTCTTTTCTTTTATTTTCAAGGCTTTTGTTCCACCAAGAAGAGTTGCGGTTATCTCTTTTGACCCCCAGTGGACAGTTCTCATGATAGGATGAGATCACTGCTTCATGAAATTGCGTCACTACTATATCCATATCATTACAGTGAATAGTACTGAATCCGTCCTCAAAGTATGATTTGAGGAAGTTTTTATACCCCCTCCAGTCAGTAGATTTTGAGTCACGATATTCCACTACTAATCTTAGACCTGTTTCAATATTGAAAAGAATATATCTATGGTCTGAACAAGAAGGTTCAGTTGATACAGACCAATGGTGTATCTTGTTGACCAGTGAATGTGAGCTGATGGTTGAATCTAATACCTCATGCCTATTACTAGTGACAAAAGTTGGATCCGAGCCCTCATTAATTACAGACAGCCCCTTCCCTAGTATATAATCAAAGAGTAACTCACTCCTACGGTTTATATTCGTGCTGCCCCACGCTGTATGGTGTGAATTGGCGTCACATCCCATTACTATTTGTAGTTTGTTCCTTTTGCTATAGTCGATAAGTCGTCTAACAGCAAGAGGAGGTACAGTATACGAATCTCCCGGAAAGTAGGCGGAGCAGGCGATAAAATTCGTCTTAACCTTCTTGCCCGATAGAGAAATTTGGATGACTACCAAAAAATGGTTAATACCTTTCCTGATGACCAGACATGCTCTGGGTTTCTTCCCAGGGCACGCTATTACCTCCGGTTACTCGGCCTGTATTTCCTGTCCATGGTTCCTGCAGGATGGCAAGGTCGATTAATTCATCCTTGAAGTTTTTTCCAAAGACGTATGAAGCGGCCTTGGCATGTTGTAAGTTTGCCTGCAAACACTTGAAGATAACAAGTGTTGACGCAAACTTAGTACTCCTCGACCCTAGGAGGGAGAAGATGGGGGGTTCTTAAGCACACCTCCACCCTCCTCTCCCGGGATCGAGGGATGTTTAGGCTCAGATGATGAGGTGAGGACACCTGCTGTCTCTGAGTTGCCTGCTGATTTATTGCATCTCTTTGACGAGACGATTTTCGTCTTCGCTTTCAGAGAGCCACGTCCAGCCTTTTTTCCCAGTTCACTCGACGAGACGTTGGCCGTCTTCGTCTCCTGAGAAACACCTGTTTTTTCGGCCTTGAGCTGAGTGTGAGCCGGTGGTTTACCCCTATGTTTGGGTGGAGGTTTGGTTGATCTCCTCCCCATAGGTAGATTTCCAATCAGCCCCACTTCATTTACTCTAACGGGTGCACTAGTGTGACTCGTTTGAGTAGTTTCCTGTTGGGAGGGTGCCCGGGTTTTAGGGCGGAATGAGACCTGCCCAAAACCAAAATGTGGTCTGAAACCCGTTCTCGCCAGCACGGCCATAGATCCATCGTCTACAGCGTAGGTCCATGTTTGACCAGGGTCTGACTTTTTCTTGTGGAAGATCGTCCACTTCAAGGTTGACAAACCATGGTTCATTTTCCTCAATCTAGTGAGGACCTGTTCGGAGGTCAGTCTATGACTGTCTCCGTCAGGTAGGTAAGCAACACAGATGTGTGGCTTCGGAAGTTGGTCCCCTGTGACGCATTTCAGGGAAGCGCCCTCCCACGGTTGCAGGGTATTAACTACACCCGCAAGCCAGTCGGCGCTAACCTGATCCTCACAGATGACCTGTAACCATCTTGGCCGAAAGACGCAGCTCTGGAATTGTACCTGCGGCTCACCGTCTGGAATAACCTCCACAGCCGACAACCAGCTGAAGAGATTCCAGCTGGTTGGCCGTTAATGAGGTAGTCGGATAATCAAGGTGCAAGATGCCCGCGACAACCTTTCCATATGAGGGTTTTTGCACATCAGGTACACCTGACGATGCCTTAGATTTAACCGTGCAGGTTTCGGTGAATCATTATTTGATCGCAAACGTTCGCTAACCTGCTCAAGGGGGGTTTGTTCCCCCACCTGAAACAGAGTCTGCGTACGCCGCTCAAGAAGTTGGTGCAAGGCGGTTTCATAAGGTACTCCGCTCTTGAGGAGACGACTCAGTCGTTTCCTGGCTGCATCACTGAACCTTTTCCCAGGTTCAGATTTTGAATCAGGGTTTGGAGAGTTGAGAAGCTCTCGCTTCTGATCTAAACTTACATGGAGGGCAGCTGAAGTCGTAAGCTCGACATCCATCTCCTCTGTAGAATCAGCGTCAGAAAAAATATTCAAATTTACTCTGTCCATAAAAGTCCTACGAGTAGTTAGGAAAAGAAGGTCAATCACGGCAGAGCCCCGCATTACCGTGACAAGGCGATGCTACGATGAGAGGGCGCCCGGTATCTCGAAGGTTCCGTTAGAGACAGCTGATAGGCTCAGTGTTATTCATCCTCTCGGCACGGATACCATTCAGTTAGGGAATAACAGAACCACACGTGATTCTGTCATTCCCGTATCCAGCGGGGCTACGTGGAAGCAGGCATTCGATGGCCGCTTTGCTCAACCCCCACATCCTACGCCAAAGCACTTGCCGAACACAGCATGCCCAGTGGTTCAGGCAGTGAAAGATGAAGGACAGCCAACCCACCTGTCGAATTGACATTAGATATTGAAATTATCCCATAGTTATGAACTTGAAGTAGGTAACTAGTATTTTCATAATCTTCAATACACGCTAGTACACCATTGAACAATCTCAAATCTGAACGGTTCGATACGGTGGACTTCAACTATGTTCAAGCAAAAGCATGAAACATGTTACTTTTGTATCAACTCGAATGAACTCTTTTCCTCTACTGAAGACAATAATTATTTATAAACAAATTATGACAACACGTGGCATTAAATAAAAGCTAAAATACTGACTACAAGATTAGATTTTTAATCTATGTATGAAGATATCGTTTTCAATACTAGTAGCGCCGCTACTCAGGTCAATGATGAAGTCTGTTCACACATTAGTTTCTTACATTATAAAATGTTGCTGAGATAATTTTGCCCTTATACTTGACATAGTTGATAATACGTATCAGATAGGTACCTCCACAATACGACAGGCTAGTCATACAATACGCAGTCTCTAATATTAATTTCCCATATCCATGTAAGATGTTATCGGCATTTAGTGTAAAATGAACATCTGGGATTTATGAAATGAGCTTTGAGAACCGGCAGAATGAAACCGAACACCCAAACCCCGAACAATGGGAACAACTAAAATATTACGTACATTAAGTCATCGTCTTTGAACTTGTATACTGTAGTTATACAGTGTATCCGAAAAGTATGGAATAAATTCGATATTTCCAAAATCAAA